CCTAACATTTTTCCCTTTTGCTTTCTTTCTTGTCACAATAAAGTCTCCCTCTTACATAATTGGAAGTTAGTAACATTCTCATACTTAATGCTATGCATGGGAAATGGGGGCTTTGGTTTCCTCATTAATATGTTTGATTTTTGTAGAATGTACAGAGATGCAGATTGAAGTGGCCATCATTTTCCTCTTGCAACATGTTAGTAATTTTCCCTTCCTGTTGAATGCAAGCTACTATCAATGGCAAGTGAACAAATGCAATAGGCCCTTCACACAAGATTGATACCAGTCACTTAAGTATGTGGGAGAAGCGACTGAGGGTGTATTTTAGAATCTATTTGGCAATCAGCCCTACTGGCTAGACTCCTGTCTAGCAAAGGCTTCTTATCCATTTTATTTTCTATGTTGGATTACAATCTCATTAGAGGTGAGAGGATGGAGAAGGTGGTAACATCAGCTGCTTCTCTTAAATCTCTCACAGTAACTTAGCTAGAACAGGGTTTCTCAACCTCAGTACTTCTGCCATGTTGAACTGGGTAATTCTCTGTTTTGGGACCGTCCTGTGCATCGTAGGATGTTTAGCAGCATCCTTGGCATCTACCCACTAGATGACAACAGCATCCCTCCCTCCCCAGTTGTGATGACCAAAAGTATTCCCAGACATTGTCAAATGTTCCCTGAGAGGGAAAAATCAACCAAGTTGAGAACAACAGAGACAGAAGATGAGTTTAGGGCAATCATTAAGCTGAAGACACTGAGGAGCTGTTAGGCAGCATAACGCTGAAAAAGGAGGGCTGGAAGGATAGACATGAAACAGACAAGTAGGATCTCCAGCGCTTAGGCTGTAAGCTAAAAGAAGATTCTTGCCTTACATTGCGAAGAAGCCTTATGTTTTTTAATGAAGAAATGTAAGTTCTCAGAGATGGCATCTCAAATCACAGGGAGAGAAGACCATTAAATATGCAGAAGGTGTGTGTTTGGTTTAGGGAGAGGAACCTAAACCAGACTTCTAGGGGTCACTAATACAAGACAAAGAAGACTCTATAGGAGTCTACAGAGGGCCTGGAGAAAACTCAGAGCGTGCGAAAAGCCATAAAGCTCTTTTTAGGAATAGGGCTCTACTGTGTCTGAACGGAAGAGGTTGAGGACAAGACTGAATTAAAACATAAATCTAGCTCTGTAGATTTTCACAGATATCTGTAAGACTTGCGCATAGTGAAATTCACAAGAGTTTTCTACATAGAGTTTAACTTACTTCACTTCCTTCTGTGGAACTCCAAATTTATTCTTCTTACACAGAACCTGACCATGGTAAAGTCCCATCAAGGCCTTTGATTCTTTGGTCATTGCGAGCTCTCCGAATTTCTGAAAATTAAAGAGGAACAAGAAAAGGTAGAACCTTATAATTTGGGGGATGTAGATTCCTTTGTTTCTGGTCTCTGCAAAGCAAAGGCAAGCCCTGTAAAGCCTCCATTCCTTGGGGCGGGGGTGGCTCAGCAGTGCCTGTGCTGCAGAAGTCTGTCTTTCACTGATGTGTCTTACCCTCACTCTTCTCATCTGGAGCACTTTCTAAAAAAGTTTTGGATATAACTAAGCTCTCAAATTCTTTACACAAGAGGTGTGATATTCTTTTTTTTTCTTTTTTAGAGACAGAGTTTCACTTTGTTGCCCTAGGTAGAGTGCCATGGCATCACAACTCACAGCAACCTCCAGCTCTTGGGCTTAGGTGATTCTCTTTCCTCAGCATCCTGAGTTGCTGGGACTATAGGTGCCCGCCTCAATGCCCAGCTATTTTTTTTTTGTTGTTGCAGTTTGGGTGGGGCTGGGTTCTATCCCACCACCCTCAGTATATGGCGCCAGCATCCTACTCACTGAGCCACCGGTGCCGCCTATGATAACCTTTTTCATAGAATTAAGAGTCTAAGAGCCAAAACGAGCCTACACAATCATCTCAAACCAACCCTTTAATTTTAAAGATTGGGAAGAAGAGTGCCAAAGAAATTAAGTGACTTTGCTCAAAGCCATAGTGCCTCAAAGAGGCAGAAATGGAACTTGACCCCAGATAGCATGACTCCCAACTCCAGTTCTCTTTCTACTGTTGCTGGCTGCTCCACGTGGAACCTTTCAAAAAGGATCTTAATATGTATGGAGAGTCTCAACTTAGTGGTTAAAGCATAAGATTTATGGTCTAGGTTGGGATCCTGGCTCTGCCACTTCTCTACTAAGATGCTTTCTTCATCCTTAAAATGGAAAAAACAATACCTATTTTATAGTATTCTTGTGGGGATTAAATGAGAATACTAGTGAAATGACAGGGTCTCAATTTTAGCTATTATTAATATTACTAGGATGTATTGGTGAGAGTACATGATTATAAACAGCATGTCAAAGGAATCCCTCTAATAAAGGTGCTTTCATGCCCTAATAGAACATAGAACAATGTTCCATAGAATTGACGGTTTCCTAATCATCATCATACACCATGTTCTATCCAATAAACCAGTGATTTTTTCTTTTTTCTTTCTTTCTTTTTTTTTTGAGA